AAAAAAAAAAAAAAAAAAAAAATTCAAAAATCAAATTAGTTGTTTTTTTGCCGCCTCCCCTGCCCCCCCCCCTCTCCCTACTTACGCCTTCCCTATACGCGCGCTTCCCGCAATAACTAGAATATAGTGAAGAATATATTTTGTTTATCATATTCCTTACTATGTATACAAATACAGAAAGTAACCTAGCATAATAAATTAGATAACTAGTCACTACATATATATTTCCAATAAATCGAGCTTGGACCAAGCATGTTCCAAGTATATATTTCTATAAAAAACATAATCATATTCGATAATCGTTGAAAAATATGCACATATAATATACGCTAACTTATACACTACAACCACAAACACAGGCCCGTATTTTAACGCATTCTATATATATATATATTATTATTTATAAAAATGTTGTAAACAGAAGAAACTAATCGTATTTAATCATATATAATTTGCACTATTATAATCAATTTCCTTTCTTATAAAAATACGGATTTTAGATTTAGAATCCAGAAATTAGATAAACGTCTTCGAAAAAGACTCCAAAAAAAGTGGGCTATGGTCGTCTAGTAAGCTAGAAATTCCAAACAATTATATTCTCTAGAAGTTGAAATCACAAGTCCAAATCGACTCTTCCAGATCAAAATGTCTTTCATGCTTTTTGGAAACCAGTTCTTGAAAACTACACGATACCGCGCGGATATTCGAAATAAAAAGCAAAGGAAGCTGAAAACCGAAAAGATACAAAGACTTCAGAAGACCCGAAATGCCTCAACCCCAAGCCGCGCGCTAGAAAGCCGCCTGCTGCATACTGTCCTCTTACCCTCAATACATCAATTGTTCCAGTGACCAGTCTGCTTCAAGTTGCAAACACTATAAAATAATAGGGGATGCCCTAGTCAAAGATGAAACTGGCAAAAACAAACAATGTTGATGTCGACTCATGTCGCTCTATCTCAGTCTCTACATATTTCTACCGAACTTCATGTATATTTCCCCTTTGCAACCTGGCTCTCTATCTATCAATTGTTTCCCTAGCTTATCTCTACTTATCTTTATCATTTGGCCTCTGCTGATTTTTCTATCGATTTCTTTACATGTAGTTTTTATCTGCCTCTGCAGTTGATTCTCTCCATGTCCCTCTATTTAACTCTGCATGTTTCTAGCATTCCTGTTTTTTCTATATCTATTTCTATTTATCTCTATTGCATCTATCTATATGTCTTTAGCACTCTACTATCTGCATCTATATCTATTTCTTAGGCTTCAAAAATAACAACACTTCTGCTGAAGATTGATATTAATAATCAGGTGTCTACCGGAAGCTTTAGCTTTTGGTCAGCTCGGTTCTGGCCAAGCCGCGAAAACATTCTGGTGAATCTCCGCCTGGATGAGTTCCACTCTGCCGAAACTTGCAAAGATGCTGCGTCGAAAGGATGGTTGGAAGAGCGCACCTAGCAAGAGAGCAAAACACCTGCAATGCTTGCCAGGTAACTTCGATTGCCCCAGAAGACCACCAGGACAGCTCCGTAGGATCTAACGGCTCCAGGGCCTGCAAAGGCGATACAAAATGTGCGAAGCCTTGCCTTGTGTGCCAGTCTTGCTATATCTCTTTCTTACTTTCGTCATTTTACTGCCCCCTTGCGGCCTCCCCATCGTCTAGGAGGCGCTCTGCCAGAGCATCAGAGTGCTTCTCCATGCCGGCCTCCTGAGCGAACGGCCGCTCTGTGTACGAATGAAGAGATCAGCTGAGTCAAGGTGAGCCAAGCATGGCTAAGCTGGCTAAGCTCAGCATTCACCTAGGCTTCACGCTCGAAGGTAATGATCTGGAATCTCCAAGCGGTCATACCTCGGATGCTGATCGGGCAGCACGGCGTGAAACCAATCCCCAAGCAGCTGAATGCTGAATCAGCTGCACCTGAAAAGCAAGAGCATGCAGGAGCAATGACAGGAAGGCTCTGCATTGCAGCCTGATAAATCGTGATTACTGTAACATGGACTGCACTGACTTGAGCGGTAAGATGTGATAAGGCATGAGCTCGAAGCGGAGGCCAATCGGCTTTTGACCTGATCGGGCTCGGGGCCAGCTACGGGTGTGCCGGGGGGGCGCAAAGCAAAGTCATGGTGAACCTGGGAGAAGAGTCTCTGGACCCGGGATGCGCTCACCGGGACGCACGACGTAGAGCTCTTCAGCCATCTGCACGAGATGGAACCGCGTTCTGAAGCGAAACAGATCCTAAACCTGCGAAACACACCGAGCAGCGAATAAAGACAAAGGGACCAGGGCGCAGAAGGTTAGAATCCAGCAACTGCGCCTCCCAATGCTTCCGGGGCGTTGTGTGGTGGACAAGGTCTTTCAGCCGAGTCCTCGCCAATGAAACAGCAGCATGGCGAGTCAGCAAGCTGCTGCTGTGCGAGCCGTGTCGATTGTCAATCCGCTAGGTCACGTACATTTGCAGTAGCCTTTGCTGCCGGCGGCTGATAAACTCGAGTGCCTCGGAGCTCAAGGCTTTGTCCATACCGAGCTGCTAGGGCAAGTGTCATGAATGCCTGACAGTATGACTCGCTATGCTTGCCGCTTGCCTCGCTGTTCAGGAAGAACCCCAAGGGTCCTGTACACATATTGCAGAGGCCAGGCCAGGCCAGGCCTGCTGAACGGGACATAAGATTCTAGGATCATCTTCGGTACCAAATGGCATCGGTCCTCGACCATCCAATTCGAGGGCATGCCGTGCTTGTGCAGCAACCTGCGAACAATTGAAACCTTTAAAGGTGCAATTCGTGCAAAGTCCAATTCAGCAGCTAAGGACAGCGGTGCCATGCCTGACCGCAAACAGTTCCTTGCTTTGAGCGCTTCTGGACTTCCAGTGGGCTCTGGCTGAGTTCCTCATTACCGCGCGTTCGAACAGTTAGAGGGCGGAACCGAAGTGCTCTCTACCTGACTAACCAAGAAGCCGCACCAGCCGCTGTCTTGCCTTCTCAGCCAAACCCAAACTGAAGGACGTATGAGCCACCATCCCAAAGAAGATGTGGAGCCTCGACAAATTCAACCGTCACACCTGCACCGGCTCTGTTGTCAGCCGTGACCTGGTCCTTACATCCGCAACTAGCCCGAGAATCAGAAGCACTTCGTCTTTGCCTTGTCTGCACAGTCCACATCCCTCAACCACATAAGGGGAGAAGCAATACTGTCACCAAAAAGTGTACCATGATGAGCAACGGTTTCACGGGTGGGAGCTCTTTCCCGTCGAGCCTTGGATGCGCGAAGCCGAAGTTCCTGCGGAGAGCCGGCCTGACGGTGCTTTTGGCTCTTGCCCTTAAGCAGAACCTGCACCTTCTGGGCATGGCGTGCGGAGTTGGCCAACGGTCGCAGCAGAAGAACACCGATTTTTCATGCTTACATCAATGTGGCTGTCTGTGTCCTTCAGCACTTACCAGGAGCGTCTTGGGCCTGGGCTTGCATCATCTTGCATCTTCAGTTCATCTGCAACTCACTATGAGGGTGTAGAACAAACGCAGGGGGCTACGTGCCTTTCAGATCACAGTGTGGTACGATGGCATCGCCGGAAGCAATTAGCTTCGTGTGACACGACCCAGGTTTGCCATTTTTCGGCCATGGTTCAGCAAGCTTTCCTCATGTTACCAGCAAGCTGGGCAGACGCCAACAGCAACGACGCCTGCCGCTCCTGCAAGCCCATGCGGCTGTCAGCCGCCAAGCCTCAGCCACTCGCAGAGCCTTTTGTGCAAGCTGCACTCAGCTGATCCGAGCTGTGAACTCTCTCGATTGTTCTCGATGTCTGATGCATCTGCGGCCTCATTTGAGAGCTGCATCCTCTAGGCCCAGGCTGTGAGCTTTTGGTGGTTCTCGCTGTTGTGCCATACTCGGGCTCTCACGGCTAGGAGTACAGCCCCAGCCCGTTCCAACCACGTTGAGACCTTGTCGAAGCATGCGCAGCATGCCACATGGTGTCGCTGTGCGCCGATACGGTGGTACGAACCGATCCCAATCGTGCCTGCACTCTGCATAAAGACGGATGACACTACATGCTTTGGCCTCTGCAGTCCAGCTCAGCAGGCTGCAGGACCCACACGATCTGTGTCCATGATAGCTAAGATCACCTGTGCCAGCTTGAAGGATGAGAAGCTGCGCACTCCCGTCTTCTTTTGGGGGCCTTGTGTCCAGATGCTGCCATAGACATGATGCCACGCCTTGCACCAAGCTTTGGATTGGACGAGAACTTCTGCACTGACTCAGGTTCCACTGCGTGATCTTGAGGCCACCCCGGCCCTGCCGACTGAAAAGAAAACAAAGCACAGCAGATGACCCGAGCGTGCTGCGCAAGCTGCTTGGCTCGTGGTGAGTGAGTGAGCTCCTCGCAAAGGACTATGTTGCATCCTCTCAGCTGTTGTTTCGGGCAAACCTCTGGATGATCTACGTCGGAATCTGTGGCGTGCATAGAGCCTGAATCGTTCTGTCTAGGTCATGAATGTGGATAACTCGTTCTTGAGGCATTCGAGTTGGCAGATTCTTGCCGCTTTTGGGGGATCTTTTACTGTCCCTCCTCTAGCGTTCCCTACCGTGTCACTGCAGAGTATTTTGCACCGAAGGTATTGCGCAATGCACTTTCCTTGCCAACCAGAAGCCAAAACAGAGCATGCGAGAGCACCCGTAACCGTGTATTACGCTGCCTGGGAACCCTGATCGCTAAGGGGGCCGTATCGCTACATGCAAGAGGACCTGCAGGGATAGGTCGGGACGTGCACACAGCAAATCGGGACAGCGGCCTTCACTGTCGTTTCATTGCCTTGCTCTTTCTGGATTCGCTCCATCGTGGAGCTGCGAACGTCCCCAAGGCCTCTGCGAGCAGTCATCTTCCCAACTGTGCAGCCAAGCCAAGAGCAGCTATGGCTCCGGCAGAGCAACTTGGGTATCGTACCAGCTGGCTGTGAGGCCTTGGAAAGCGTGACTGGAAGAAAGCTTGATGTATCTTGATACCTGTTGAAGATCGCAACTGCCACCTTTCCCTCACTTGGCTTCAAGCGAATTCCTTCACAGCCTCCGCGTAAGGCTCCCCCTTGGTCCAGCGATTGAGCGCCTGCTTTCCAGGAAGGACATGTGTGATTGCCAACGT